CCCCTAATATGTATTTTTCTTGTCCTTTAAAATGCCCCTTTTCTTTCTATCTTGGGAGGTCTCAAAGCCACTGCCCCTTCTCCCTGTTTTTAATTGTCTCCTTTGGCTAGATTGGTGCTAAGGAGATACATGTGCCTGTGCACTGCCTTTTGAGGCCTTCACCAACCTGTCAGTATCCATTGACACACTCAGCATTCAGCAAGTTACAGTATGTCCCTGCTCCCTCCTCCTCCCTCCTTCCAGCAATTTGTCTGATGGCAGGAGACGCCTATCAGTGCCCTCAGCTCAGTGCCTACTGCACAAGTAAGTTTGGAGACAGATGCAAAGACAGCATGTAAGTGTTTGGGGACAGCAAAAGCTAGCAAATGTACTGGGGCATTATTTTAAACTGTGAATTAATATAAGTGATACTAAACATACAATGTTTAATTGCCATCATCCCTTCTATTAATTATTATTAATTATTATTAAGTTATTAGGTATTAGGATCAGGCCCACTGTATATAATTTTATATATAGAAAATAATCTAGGTAACTTATTTAATCATTACTGTTCAGAGGTCACATGATGTTTCCCAGTTCTTTTCTGTCATCAGGGAAAGTTCTGAAGGAAGAGTTTCTAGTACTCTGCTGATTTCTGAATCTGTGTCTGCACAACTGGAGCTGTGCTGGTCACATGACATTAAAAAATAAGCTTTCAGCATAGTGAAATACAATACATAATTAAAAGTAAAAAAGTGTTTTAAATCTTCATAGAAATCAATATTTCAAAGCAAATATTATTATTATTATTATTTATTTATTTGTTTATTTTTATGCAGTACCATGGTGTAGGTGGAGTTTAAGTTGACTGGCAATAGCTTTAACTTTGTTCACACTGTAAAGAGTTCTGGAGGAGGTTCTGCCAATCACAGGCTGTATTACACCCCTTTAGACTTTATCTATGGTGTATTCGTGCTGGGACTAACAGGGAAATTAATCCTTCATCAATCACCATCTTATATCGTGGCCAGATTGCTTATAGCAATAGGATGACATGGAGGAGGGAGGGGAGTGTCATTTACTACTGTGTATATGTCCACATATGTGACTCTCTAGTTACATGGGCTGCACAGACAAAAAAAAGAGCATATGAACAGCTTAGAAGGGAATTGAAACTGGACCATGCTCAGTAGATATCAGCAGCTGGTTTACATAATCTCAGGCTGCATCACAGACAAGGAAGAACGGACAGTGAACAGCAGGATCAGCCAGGATTTTTGCAGTCTACAGAAGACACATGCTCTAGTGGATAAGTGAATATGAACACAATGTAATATAGCAAGTATTGACAGTTTGTGATAAATTGGGATAATTACACTTTTTATAGTCAGTCTTTCAATAGCTTACAGCACCAGCTATTTGTTTACATTTTTCTGCAGCTAGAAGAAGCTGCAATTTTATTGTCTCGCTTGGAAATGTTGAGGATGAATTGTACCACAGTAACCTACAGAAGTCAATAGAGGCTTGTTTAAAGCTTATTTGCTTGCTAAGAATATGTTAATATTGAATATTCAAATCAACCACTGCAAGATTTCAAGAATAAGGTAGGCTGACAGAATACAATGTTTTTGGTTTGGGCAATCATTCAGAAGATGAACATGCAGGGCTCTTTTGCAAATAAGAAATGTAAAAGTGTGTAGATACATATTATTAACATGTAAAAGTCAACAGTTATTTTGAATAGTCATTCCCTAGCTGTCTCTGCCTAACTGTCAAAAGACATCTATAACTCAATACATTTTATACATACAGGTACAGTAGGTTGTTTGGCTTTTATTCTAACATTCACATTACAGAATCAGATGTAACAAACCTTAACATTTTGACAACTGGTCCCATTTGTCCAGCTGGTGCAGGAATGGTGCATTGGAAATGAGCTACTTTACTTTGCGTTTGCTACAGGAACTGTGCTTGAAACTATTTTCCAAGACAGAATAGAAGCTTATCACCTAGGCAACATCTCTGCCACTTTCAGGCTTTTTGCCACAATTAGTGAAAGGTCTATTTAAACCCCAAATCTCAGCAAAGGTTTTTTCATTAAATAGTCCCTCAGCAGCTCTGAATGAAGTATAGTACTTACCTCCACTCAAACGCCATTTCCTGCAATAGTTCCTTTAGATATTTTCAGTCTTCTGGATTGAATGACACCACAGCATCCTGCACTCACATACAATAAAGCTGAAAATGGCACTGATGTCTAATGCCATTAGTGAGCTGTCAGCACAGCTCTCTTCATTACTGAGGATCACCCAGCACCGGAGGAGGGAGAGTTGGGGGGGGGGTGCTCTGTATAATAACTGCTATAATACACAATAGCTTCCTGCTATTAAGCTGTTAAGGATGCCAGTGAGTGCAGACACCTTGATTCCCAGCCATGTAAGCAACTAAGCCTGAGATAGTTAAAAAATGGTCTAGGGGTTCCCCTCGATTAACACCAGGCCCCTCAGGTCTGGTATGAATTTTAACAGCATAAGCACCCCCCCAACCTCTGGGTCTGGTATCGATTTTAAGGGGGACCCCCATGCAAAAATCAAGAAAAAGAAAGTGTAAGGTCCCCTCAAAATGTCATACCAGCATACTAGCATGCAGCCTGGAAGGCCAGAAAATAGGGGGCGATCATGCAGTCCCCTCTTGAACCATATTGCCCTCAACAGATACTTCCCTTCCCTATGTAAATGAATACGGGGTACTTTAGCACCCATACTCAGGCAAAAAAAAACACAATTTTTTACAAGACCTTTAATAAAAAAAAGTCCCATGATGTACATTCACTATGAATCACCATGCCCAGCAGTGCCAAAACAGCTGCACAATGCCACACATCCAATCCATTAATTGACAGTTTGGGGGATGACAGTTGATATATACAAAGGGTGGGGTCTCCTAGATGGCATCATTGACCATATATGATCAAGATGATAAAATATAGCATCTGGCTGGATGCTGTGGGTCCCAACTTCTCCTTTGTTATGATTTCTTCTCCTCTTCTAGGTTTTATAATTCAGCCCAAGTGACTTCAATTTTGGCAATGCAGATTTCCTGTGCTTTTGGTTAACTTGTCTGTGAAAGGAAGTCATCAAATAACAGCCTGCAGGTGTTTGGCTGTCACTTTCTTTTTATGCCCTGACATACACTTTAAACAGGAACAAAATTCCACACTCCAAAGCAAAGCTATAGAATATTAAAATCACCAGTCATTTTACAGCATATAATGTCAGTTTATGTATGCTTGGTATTTCTTTCAATCCTGTGTTGCAGCAATGTATGCACACTAAAGGTTGTACATTAAAATACAACTCCCAACAATCAAGGGCAAGTGTTTTGGGGTAAATACTGCATTGGATGAGGCTGTTAAATGAGTTAGGCTTCATTTCCTGCAACAGGCTTAAAAAATATAAGAAAAAATATATTTTGAAATTTCTAAACTGCATCTCAATTCAATTAAAAAAGATCTTTAAATTTTTAAGACCAAATTTTGTGTTTGGTCTGGAGGTCTCCATCAACTACTTTCTGCTCTGCCTATAGTCAAATGACAGCTGGGTGGGAAATTCACCGTTCTGGGTGGATGTCACATATAACATCCTCCCGGAATGCACTTTGCATGCCCCACAGGCCGCGCTGCAGTGAGACCTGGACAAAGCGGATGACCGATCAGTGTACTGGCTGCTGCCAGTACCATGTGATCGCTGTGACCAATCAAAGCAGGTCACATGACAATTGTACACAATGGATGGCATTCATTTATGCCATCCATTGTGTACTATTGTGTTGATCTCTGTGATTTGTCACAGCTATCATATTGTACAGACAGGGCCAATTACAGCCCAGCTGTGCCATGTGATTAGCTGTGACCAATCACAGCTAACCACAGTAGTAGTAGTAAACACTGAATGAATCAATTTAATTTTGTAAAAATGGTTGCTTGTACCACTGAAATTCACTGGTATAAACAATCATTATCATAATTATAATTTTAAAAAATCCTGATCACTTCCCCAGAGTAGTACAATGGTAGTATGGTAACATTATATTGCTTTGGTCACTGTGTGTTAAAAAAACCCACAAAAAACAAAAATAAAATAAAAAGGGAAAAAAATGTAAAACAATCATTAAAATAGTTTTTGTTTTTACATACTGTCAACAGTGTCTCTGATCACTGCCAAAAAAAAAAAAAATTTAAAAAAATTACATTTTTCAAAAAATGTTGACAAAAATTAACTTTAAAAACTCCCAATGCCTCTTACTAAATACCTTGGACTTTATGCTTTCCAAAAAGGGGTCATTTGTACTGTCCTGGCATTTTTGGGCCTCAAGAAATGAGATTTTCAGATATATACTGTATAAACCACAGCTTGTGGACTCTATAACTTTCCTACAGACTAAATAATAAACACTGATTTGGGTTATTTTCAGCAAATAAATGTAGCAGAATACAGTTTGGACTACATTTTTGGAGAAAGATTATTTATAATCTATATAATCTATATAATTTTATAACAGAAACAAGGAAAAATTTGTTTTTTTTTTCATTTCAAATTTTTTATTTTTTCTAACTGCCTCCTGCCCGCCATATAGTACAATGATGGACGCAAGGCGGTTCTCTCGTTCTGGGAGGACGTCATATGACGTCCTCCCATTCTAACCGCACATGCACTGCTCCAGGAGCACGCAGTGCGGCGATCAGCGGTGCGCTGTGTCCCTCAAACACAGCGGATTACCGATCAACGGAAAGAGCCGAAGATGTCGGCTTGGTCATGTGATCAGCTGTGTCCAATCACAGCTGATCGCATGTAAATAGGGAAATGCTGGTTATCGGCATTTCTCTCCTCACGAGTTGTCACACTGACAGCTCGAGAGGAGGGGAGAGCAGGTAGTCGGCATTACTCAGAGGGGACATGTACACTGATCATCAAGGCCCTGATGATCACTGTGCCCTGATGATCTGTGTAGCCCCAGCAATGCCACCTGTCAGTGTCCATCAGTGCCAGCTGTCAGTGCTCATCAATGCCACCTGCCAGTGCCCATCAGTGCCACATCAATGCCATATTTCAGTGCCTACCAGTTCACATCAATGCCACATATCAGTGCCCATCTGAGCTGCCTTTCAGTGTCACCCATCAGTGCCAGTCAGTGCCACCTATCAATGCCAGTCAGCGCCACCTATCAGTGCTGCCAATCAGTTCCACCTATCAGTGCCAATCAGTTCCACCTATCAGTGCCCGTCAGTGCTGCCTATCAGTGCCGCCTAACAGTGCCAGTCAGTGCACCTAACAGTGCCAGTCAGTGCCGCCTATCAGTGCCAGTCAGTGCCGCCTATCAATGCCGCCTATCAGTGCCATATATGAGTGATGCCTTTCAGTGCCCATCAGTGATGCCTGTCAATGCCCATCAGTGTCAGCTACCAGTGCCTCCTCACCAGTGCCCATCAGTGCCACGTATCAATGTCCATCAGTACAGCCTATAAGTGCCCATCACTGCAGCCTCATTAGCGCACATCAGTGAAGGAGAAAAATCACTTATTTACAAAATGTTATAACAAAAACTAAGAAAAAATGTTTTTTTTTTCAAAATTTTCAGTGTTTTTTGGTTTGTTTAAGAAAAAATAAAAAACACAGAGGTGAATAAATACCACCAAAATTAAGCTCTATCTGTCACAAATAAAATGATAAAATTTCATATGGGTATAGTGTTGCATGACCACGCAATTGTCATTCAAAGTGCAACAGCGCTGAAAGCTGAAATTGGCCTGGGCAGGAAGGCGGTATAAGTGCCCTGTAGGCTAGTGGTTAATTTATTTAGCAAAAGAAAAGAGGTGAATAAATACCACTAAATGAAAGTTCTATTTGTGAGAAAAAAATTATTCAAATGTAATATGGGTACAGCATTGCATGACCTCGCAGTTGTCATTCAAAGTGCAACAGCACTGAAAGCTGAAAATTGGCATGGGCAGGAAGGGGGTGAAAGTATTGAAGAGGTTAATAAATGTGCAAAAAAAATTCTGTTCATTCTCTTTAGATTTTTAAAACTACATTTTGTGTTTGGCCTGGAGGTCTACATTAAAAAATGTGCAAAAAAGTCTCCATTAATAAATGTGCACTAGCATAATAAATTTGTGTCATGTGATCATCTACATTCTTTATTTCCACAGTGTAGCATTCCAAATATGTAAAGACGGCGTATACTGCCTGCAGTTCCCTTGTGTTAATATGATACAAAACATTGCAGAGCACGGGGAATATCGTAAATAGCACAGTAGCAAATTACAGGGATAACAATATCTTCTGAAACCAAAGTAGAGCTAATTTCTTCTTAATCTCTGCTTTTGTTAATGGACAGCTGTCAACAAAGCGGCTTCTCTACCCCAGCCTGCTAGTCTCAGTGGCTCCAATTTTCCCTCAAAGGTCTCATTTCTACTTACCTACAGCTATCACAGTCTAAGAAGTGAAACTTCAAGTGAGAAAGTGAAAAGTCCTGTCATTTTAAGATGAATAATAGTTTGTAATGGTGATAATAACATGTTTGTGTCCTTTGCAGCCAGGTAAAGACATGCCTACCTTTAAATCTCCTTGGGCAGTTTCTGTCAATCATATTCTCACCTTGCCATTAACCCATCCCTAGCATTTGTATGCTGAAAACTTTTTGAGACAATCACCTTTCTTTAAATTAAAAGAAAATTGGCTATTGTAAAACATTTTGTTAAATTAAATTGAAACTGTAGTTTTAAATGGATGGTGTTAATTTGCTAAAATTAAATTAGTCCTTGTATAGCTTTGCATTTTTCTGTCTTTTTCCTGTAATGGGAGAGAAGATAAAATGTAATTGGAATTGTAACACCTCCCCAATATTGTGTCTATTTTTTCTCACTAATCATATTTGGGGATAAAATAGGAAATTTCACAAATGTAGAAAACAAATCCATAATGATCAATTTTCCAAGAAAATAAAAGATAAAGCCTAGTTGACTGCTTTTTTCCAGTTGTGTGTGCAAATAAGCTCCTTAAGAAAAGTCTCTCTAGTACATCAAAATATATATTTTAGCATAGTCAAAAGATTCAACTTGGTATTTCATAAAAGATGAAGTGAAAACTTTTTAGATGTTCTCAGCTCTGAGGAATGTAAGAGACATAGGGGGTAATATATATAAAAAAGTGGAATAACACTAAATGTTCTTGTTGTTCACAGCAACCAAGTGGAATCTTGATTATTTTTAATAGACAACAAGTAGCTGTTGCTGCAGGAAACCCTAGGAAACCCGCATTCTGGTGTGAGCAAGCCCTAGATCAGTGTTTTTCAACCTTTTTTGTGCAAAGGCACACTTTTTTCATGAAAAAAAATCACGAGGCACACCACCATTAGAAAATGTTAAAAAAATTTACCTCTGTGTCTATATTGACTATATATAAAGTAATTCTCTTGAATAGGAATCAAACACAAAGAAATTATTTTATAATTACTTTATTATGAAATAATAAAGTATTTTATAATTGTTCATATTTCTGTTTACTTACTCAGTGCGAAACCTGGGCCTGTTTGGCTGAACACAAAGCTGATATTCTGGCAGAAATCGAAGAAAGACACACACGTAGCTCTTCGTCAACAGCTCTCAGTCTCTCTCTGTCTTTAGTTTTTATAGCAATCAGGCTTGAAAAGCTCATCTCACACAGATATGTAGTGGAAAATGGGAGCAATGTCAAAATAGCTTTGTTTGCCAGAACGGGGAACTCCTTGGCAGTATCCAACCAAAAACTGCCCAAAGGTAGATCAGCAAATCTTAGCTTGAAACCACAATTTTGTCTCAGTTCAGTTAGTTCCTCCTGCTCCTGTAAAGTCATGTCCTTTCCACCAACTGATGCTGAGCTATAAGGGTCCCTAACCCAGTCAAGGCATTCAATGGAGACTGAAGAGAAATAAAATGACAACTTCTCCTCGAGAGTTTTTAAATGTTTAACTATTATCTCACCCAGTGCAGCAGTGTGAACACCTTGCCATTGCTTGGTGAGTGTGAACATTTCAAGATTTGCCACTTTCCACGTGTTGATGCCAGAGTTGCACCTTTGAACGGAATCCATTTATTTTATCTGTACTTGTAAGCAGATTTTCATTTCGGCCTTGCATTCGTGTGTTCAGCTCATTCAGATGATGAAAAATATCTGCCAGGTATGCCAGCCTTGCACACCACTTATCACTTGCAAGCAGCTTTGCGTAATCTGACCTCTCATTTGTCAGAAACACTTTAAGTTCCTCCCGCAGCTCATACACACGAACCAAGACCTTGCCACGCGACAACCACCGGACCTCCGTATGAAACAGCAAGGTTTTATGCTTCTCTCCCATCTCCTCACACAAAGCTGCAAACATGCGACTTTTCACGGGTCGTGACTTTACAAAGTTTACCATGCGCACAACATCATCCAACACAGGAACTAGGTCTGCTGGTAAAGTCTTGGCTACGAGGGCCTCACGGTTTTAAAAACAATGCGTAACAATCACATCTGGATTTCTTTCCTTCACTCTGCTTACAAAGCCTTTGGTGCGCCCGACCATGGCTGCAGCTCCATCGGTGCAGACACTTGTGCAGTTTTCCCACTTAAGTCCTCCATGTTCAAGGTATTCTGATGTGACCTGAAAAATTTCTTCTCCTGTTGTTTTTTCTGGCAATGCCTTGCAAAAAAAGAAGTTTTCTCTAATTGCATCACCATCCACAAAACGCACATTGGCCAAGAGTTGAGCATGTCCACTGATCTCAGTAGACTCGTCAAGTTGCAATGCAAATTTCTCACTGATACGGATCTTTTCCAAAACCACACTTTCTATGTCTGCAGACATGTCATTAATACGTCTGGAAATTGTGTTGTCTGAGAGAGGGACTTTGTCTATTTCCTTAGCTGCTTCAGGTCCGAGCATCTCCTCCACAATAGCTTTGCAGGCGGGAAGTATTAATGTCTCTGCTCTTCTGCGCATCGGCGATCTACTGCGATGTCTTCTCCTGTCAGTGTAACAGTGACACCGGAGCTATTTATATTCCGTAACATGTGGCCTCGGCTCACAAATAGACCAATCATTAGATTCTAATGATTGGTCTATTTGTGAGCCGAGGCCACATGTTACGGATGAAATTGGAATTTTTCCCATGGCACACCAGACAATATCTCACGGCACACTAGTGTGCCGCGGCACAGTGGTTGAAAAACGCTGCCCTAGATCATATCTAATTGTTCACAGCACTTTTGAAAAATGTGTGAAAAATGCACCAAAAACACACCATCCATTATAGTCAATGGAAGGTCACTTAAAAAGCCCCAAAAAATGCACTAAATGCATTTTGAAGTGCATTATGTGAGTCATATGTTAATTTTTCCTAGTTGACCAGGGAAGAAATTGCATGAAAAATGCGTGCAAAACACACTATGCTTTCTGTTTAATTTTAAAGCAATGCATTAAACACTTGCTAAAAGTGTGTTATGTAATTTAAAAAAAAAGCATATTGTGTTTTACAACTCATATTTTACAATCATATTGTGTTAGCAGGTCCTAACACTATCCTTTTTAGATAGTGCTGCTGTCCAAGGATGTCTCCATTGCTCCTCCATAGAGGAGCTGCCCTATGAAAGGTAGTGTGTTACTGGCCAGATCAACAGGTGAAAATAAAAAAATAACTAAAAACTTAAAAAATATATACATAGGGGTTGTGCAAAATTAAGGAAAAGGCAGGTAAAAGAACGCAATAATGTTGGACCATCTTTGGCATCCAAATGGGCTGAATTCTCCTGGATATTGACAAATATGGGTCTTGGATGGTGGATAAAGGGATATGATACCAATCTTCTTGCAAAAATCATTCCTGCTCTAGCAGAGATGCCAGAGGCGAAAAATGAGCCTGAACCTTGTTCTGCAAAATTAACCATAGTGGCTCTAAGATATTGAGGTCTGGCGACTGCGGCACCCTGGAAAGCAAGATTTGACAACACCATCTGTGTGAATTGGAGCATTGTCTTCTTGGGAAATGGCACTGTGTTTGGGAAACAATGTTTGCACCATGGGGGGCACATGGTCAGATAAATTTCTACATAGTCCCTGGCAGTGACTCTACAAGGTGATGATGGGGCCTGCAGAATGCCAAGATATGACTGCCCAAACCATGATTGTGCAGCCACCATGCTTTACCATTGGCACAAGACAGGCCTGGTTGTAAGTCACATATAAACCGGTCAGGAGGTTGGGAACAGTGTGAAGCTCAATTCATCACACCATATTACACTCTTCCATTGATCGATAGTCCATGATTTATGGGTGTTGCACCAATCTCTCCTCTTC